TACTCACGAAAGCTTATGCCCAAATAAATCTGTTAGTCTTTAAAGTGCCACCAGACTCCTTGTTATAATCTCTAGATGTGTATCAATAAAGATGGATGATACAGAGAGTATGGACCTTTGACCAAAGGTGGTGGTATTATTATTATTATTTATTTAGTTATTATTCCAAGTGAATTCAATCTTTAAAGAAAAATTCAGGCAGATGTATGTGTTCTGTAATCCCAGAGGAGATCAAATGAGACCAGGAAATTAATTTCAACTACCTCTGCCTGGGATGGTGTCCAGTAACCCTCTTGTGAAGAATGTGTCATTCTTCAGGTAAAAAGCCAAAATATTAGATCTACTCACCAAGCCATAACCCTTTGCTTAAAAAACAAATCGAACTGGTAAGTAAATAACATAGAGATTTCATAATATCAAGATAACTGAAACCCCCTTTTCAATTAAAAAAAAGCGTTTCCTGTTTTGATTAACCTGGACCTTTGTTTAGGAGACATATTTTTATGAATGAGGCTGCAGTGTTTGGCTCTCGCAGTATTTTCTTTGAGAGAGAAGTTGGGTGAGGTAATATCTTTTTATTGGACCAACTTCACCTCACACACCTTCTTTCTCTCATATCCTTGGACCAACATGGCTACAACAACACTGCGAAGAGTATTTTCTTAGGTTTTTATACATAGGCATTTGCATTGCCTCTGCAGCATCACGTGAACCCTGGCACGGGATTAAGAGGAAGGAAGATTTTGAAAAGGAATATTTGGCATTGATGTATTCATATTTTCAAGGCATTGTTCAAATGTTAATCAAGAATCATAACCTCCCGGGGAGATTGTCAGCATAAACCTTTTGTTTGTCTACAGTGGCTTCTGAGCTACCAGTTTCTGTCTACGCAGACGGTTACCACTGTGTGGGAAGTTTAAAGGTTGCTTTTTAATAGCAGTGATTAAAGGTAAATGAAATACTGCTAGCCCCATCTTACAGAGGGGTTAAATGCTTTGCCCAAGGCTGGGTAGTGAGTCAGGACAAGAGCTAGGATACTCATGGTGCCTGGCTCCTGTCCCTGCACTCAAGACCAGAACTGTGAGACAGGAGACTTTCTATAGGATTAGTTTATGTACCTATATTGCAGAAGCCCCCAAATTGTACCAAGCACCATGCAAACATGCTGTCCTCGCCCCCAAAGATTTTAGTAAGTCTCACTACTATTTTCATTAGTAGTGAAAACACAGAGGAAACATCCCAATCGTTTTGTTGTAAAACTTTCCAGTGCCTCCTTAACTTAAATGATCCAAGCCACTGTAATAGGCTCCCCAATGAATTAGCCATACAGCTGTATGGGACGTGCCTACTGTGGTACATTTGATCGGTTATTCAGCCCATTCATAAACACAAATCTGTTTCATTTACCTTCATCCTCGGTGGTATATTTTTTTAAAAGGCTGCAGCTCCACGTTACTGAATCCCCACTTTCTCCTGCAGTCGGAGAAACGTTTGGCTCAGCTTTCCAGCAGCATCAAAGTTTAACTCGTTGCTCTACGTACCTGCTGTTTGGATGAAGGAGGAGGCTTCCCTTCTGCTTGCAGTGTTCGTCTCCCAGGCTCTCCCGACAGCCCTCCAGTGAAAGTTGAGGAAGGGCTTCCTTGGGGAAGTCGCAGCTCTGCTACATGCCAACTGACTAAAAACTTTGAGAACTCAGACAGAAGTTTAAGTCACTGAGAAAAAAAAAATACTCCCAATAGACTGGCCCTTGAATTCATTGCTCAGCAGTCATCAGTTCTAACATATTTCCAAGCTCCCATAAGCATGTGAATATAGACCTCAGTAATAGTTATTAAATGCGAGTCCTCTGCTCTTTTTTTTTTGTTTTCCATTTCACTTGCTTAACCTAGGCTTATTTCCTGGAGGTTCTCAGCTGATAATAACGCCCCTCTCATATTGACACATTGAAGCATTCTGCGAATACCACCAGAAATCCCCTTTGCAGATTTCAAAGGTAAATTCATAGTATCTGTCTCACAGATGTGTGTCTGGTTCATGTTACATTCATTTTCAGGTACCTTGACCTAGAGCATACTGTCCGTTAAAGTTGGGGTAAATCAGAAGTAGTTCAATTGCCTGCAGTGGATTTACAAGTGAGAGCAAAATTTGGCCCTTTGGTCTAGGTCCTCAGCTGTTATAAATCATCACCGCTTCTTTGAAGTTGTGACCCCAAGACTCCAACTATTGATATATAAGATAATGTATTTTAAGGTTTGAACAGGGGGGAGAATATATCTGCTTTCTAAGAGGAATATTAGGTCAGATTTTGATCACACTTACATGGCTATAAATCCAGAGCAACTCCGTTTACTTTAGTGGAGTTAGTTTTGAATGAGTGTGATATCAGAATACAGGCCATGTGCTCATAGACGGAGCAGATTTCTGTCTAATATAAAAGATATGCTCTGATTTGCATGTTGCTGGTTTCGGAATCCATGTATTGCTTTGCAGCCATACCACTCTGTACTGTGGTCTTATCGGCTCTCAGAAACTAAGCATGATTAGACAGAGGAATATGCAATCTGAAAAGAACATTGAGGGTAAAGATCATCTGTAGAGGAGACAGTTTTTTGGGGGGCCGTTCCTAGACTGGAATGAATTCCCACAGGAACTGAGACCCATCACAAACTTCACTACCTTTGGCTCCCAGTGCAAGGCGCACTACATAGACTTGCCTTCTCTGTCATAAACATATAGCAACATGTGTGTGTGTGTGTGTGTGTAGAAATATATAAAATTCCCAAACAAGAACTCCACAGCGCTTCTTCTCCCCATGGAATGAGAATGAGGGAACAAACACATGGTTTATCGGTTAACACACTCCAGTGCTCAGATACTCCGGTGGGGGAGCAGTATTAGAACCCACAGAGAACGGAATAGAACGGAGGTGATGTTTTTGATTCGGTAGCAGGCGCTCTTCCCTTTGAGTGAGAGATGAACAAGTGTGATAAGTGGCTCCATGCTGCAGAGGGGCTGTCTTTCAGCTGAGATGTAAACTGAATAGCTGACCATCATAAAAGTCGCCACAGTCATTGTAATAAGAAAAGGGGTGTTCACCCCCGTGCCCTAGCTAAACTCCATTACGTTTTGCTTCTCTAAATGCTCCTGGTAGTATCAGTTGGATACAGTAATCTCTTTAATTTCAGGTACCAGATTTTTGTGTAGCCTTGCTGTGTGTTGTCAGTCAGCTTCTGGGTTCCAACTCAGAGGTGGTTGCATTCCTGTGGTGGGTGATGTGATCTTTGACCATTAGTGGTAAATACGCCCAGTGGCCTGTGATGGGATGTTAGATGGGGTGGGATCTGAGTTACTACAGAGAATTCTTTCCTGGGTGTCTGGCTGGTGAGTCTTGCCCACATGCTCAGGGTTTAGCTGATCATCATATTTGGGGTTGGGAAGGAATTTTCCTCCAGGGCAGATTGGCAGAGGCCCGGGGGGGGGTTTCGCCTTCCTCTGCAGCGTGGGGCACGGGTCACTTGCTGGAGGATTCTCTGCACCTTGAAGTCTTTAAACCACGATTTGAGGACTTCAGTAGCCAGGGCCGGCTCCAGGGTTTTGGCCGCCCCAAGCAGCCAAAAAAAAAAAAAAAGCCGCGATTGCGATCATGATCTGCGGCGGCAATTCGGCGGGAGGTCCTGCGCTCCGAGCGGGAGTGAGGGACCGTCCGCCAAATTGACGCTGAATAGCTGGACGTGCCGCCCCTCTCCGGAGCGGCCGCCCCAGGCACCTGCTTGCCAGGCTGGTGCCTGGAGCCGGCCCTGTCAGTAGCTCAGACATAGGTTAGGGGTTTGATACAGGAGTGAGTGGGTGAGATTTTGTGGCCTGAGTTGTGCAGGAGGTCATCATAATGGTCCCTTCTGACCTTAAAGTCTATGACTCTATGACCCTTATGTACCTTTTAACAACCACACCTGCTATTGAGAGTAATAATTATGTCACACCTGTAATGTGTTTTGGGATCCTGGGGTGGAAGTCTCTGTGGAAGTGCAAGATGTAGATGCGAACTAATATTTCAAAGAACTAGATAAGTTCACGGAGGACAGGTTCATCAACGGCTATTTGCCAGGATGGGCAGGGATGGTCTCCCAACCTCTGGTTGCCAGACGCTGGGAATGGGCGACAGGGGATGGATCACTTCTGTTCATTTCCTCTGGGGCACCTGGTACTAGCCACTGTCGGTAGACAGGATACTGGGCTAGCTGGACCTTTGGTCTGACCCAGTATGGGCGTTCTTGTGTTCTTAGGTAATAAAGAATAACTTATTTGAAATGCTAATTTAAGGCCTGATCCCCCACCAAATATGAAATGGGAGATTTGCCATTGACTTCAGTAGGAGCAAGAACAGACTTACTAATAATGGAACTGTTCCCAATAATAAACACTATCTCTGATAGCATGTGGAAGGGAGGCGATTCCATAATGATGGGGCTATGGGTGTGTCCACACAATGCAGACTATACCAGGATAGCTACATCACCATAGCTATGCTGCCATAACCCCGGGCTGTAGTTTCAGCCTTTGGCAACGGAAGGGACACCACCTTGCTGAATGACAGTAAATATGCCAGTGGAAGAACTCATCGGTCAACACAGCTGCATGTATACTGGGAGTTAGGTCAGACATAGCTTCGTCAAACAGGGGTGTGGATCTTTCACACCCCTGACTTCCGTAGCTATGGCAGCCTAACTTTTAAGTGAAGACCAAAACAAGCGACCATTTAAAGACACTCAGAATTACCTGCGTCATCATCGTTATCTCAGGGACGGAGTAAGTTCATATTTTCGGAAGTTACAGTTAAAAAAGGAACCAGACACACAGAGATGAGCTGGCAGCTTTTAATCAGATGTAAAAGATTAGTAACCAGTCATGTGATCCCATTGATTTTAAAATAGATTATGTCACGTCAACAGGATGCCCATCTGTGATTATAAATGATATTTCCCCAGACTAAACAAAGCTCCAATTTATGTTTTGGTTTCTTTCCTATGCTCTTTTTATAGTTTGTCCCTTTTGCTGTTAAGAACTGGAACCCTTAAGGGCTCCATTCTGCCCTCAGTCACATAGATTCACTTCCTACTGAAATTAAATGGGGGTTGCACCTTCGAAACTTAGGGCAGAATTGAGCCTTAGGGTTCTGATTTGCCTTCAGCTTAGTGTAGTCAGTTATACCAGTGCAAAGTGCAGAGGCGTGTAAATTTCACTCTCATCCTTCTATAACTGTGTCCATCACATTGTACATGGACACCTGAAACACCATGATTCTGATTTGATAGCATTTTACACCCACTTTAGGTAACAAATATTGTTCAGATCTCATTGTAAAAGTGGGTCTTAGTGAGGAATTTGTATGTGGGGAGGGTGAGACCTCTGTAGAACAGAGCAGGAAGAGTTCCAGGAGTGGTGGACATGGAAGGAGGGACAGCTCAGTGGTTTGAGCATTGGCGTGCTAAACCCAGACTTGTGAGGTCAATCCTTGAGGGATCTGGGGCAAAAATCTGTGTGAGGATTGGTCCTGCTCTGAGCAGGGGGTTGGACTAGATGACCTTGTGAGGTCCCTTCCAAGCCTGATATTCTATGAAAGAGGATCATGGGAGAAGCAGACAAACAGGGTGCTGAGCTTGTGACATTATTGGCGCAGAGGAAAATGGAGCCACATAATGAAAGACAAGATCAGGGTAAATTTGTGGAGGCCCTTAAAGATAAGGACATTAAGAAGCTGGACTTTGATGCTGTGGAGAAGGGGAAGCCCGTGCACCAACCGCCATGGTAAATAGGGACAAGTGAAAGGTGCACCCACAGTTTTGACAACAGAACTTGGCCCAAAATGTATAAAACAAGAATTCCTTGTGCACCTCAAACTCCCACCGACCTGTGTAAGGAACAAAGGATCAGGACAAGAAGTTGCCAAGTTAAAATCACAAGGAGTCAGGGAAGCATTTCTGTATTCTTTGGGGTGTTGAGAATCAGGGCTCAACCCTGCCATGCTACACTCCCCCTTTCTGCTGTGATTCTTAGGTGCATCCATATTTGCAGCCTATGGCTAGAATTTTGCCTTTCCTTTTTGCACATCTCTGCATTTGATCTTCACAGAGATCATTTAGAAACAATTAAATCAATCCCGTCTTGAGGTAGGGGCATGTATTAGGCTAGATGTTTCCTTGACACGGAACCCGAGCTCGTTCGAAAGGTTCATGAAACAGTGAATCCTTCTGACAAATCTGTTCTGACTTTCGGATTTGTCATAAAACTCCAAACCAGGCAAGACTGATGTGGTTTTTGTTGCAAATATTTCTCACATCATTACCTTTAACTGAAAAAACAAACGATTCTGAGTCAAGTGATTGAAAACAAGTTGGAGAGCACTTTGCTCCAGAGTCTGCTTTCTAGGAGTGAGGTTCATATTTCTCCATTCAGAACAGCCACTGGATTCAAAATATCATTGGAGAGGGGTGTTGGTCTTTATCTGTCTCAGCATTTACCCCTTGCTCACCTCTATTGTATCCATGCACCTTACAAAAATTATATCAAGGCCTCAAAAAGCGTAAACAGCCTTGATATTGACATTGCCTCTGCTTGGCTAGGTGTCTTGGTGCCCCTTCCCCATCTGCCCTCCTTTCTCCTACCATCATCAGTCGATTTAGTTACTGTAGTGGGCAGAGGATGTTATTGTGGGGAAACTATGGTGACAGGATGAGTCTTACATTTCATTCTAGTTTGGTCCAATGAAAGGTATTACCGCTGTAATATCCTGGGACCAACACAACTACAACAACACTGAGTATTTCATCCTAAAGGCAGCATGATTCATGTCAATCCAATCTCTTGTGGAAAGGAGATTCACAGTTGTGGGCCAGCTGCTGAGAATCCTCTCGCTGTTATTCCTGCAGGTCTCATCATGTTGATTTGAGTTTCGTTTATAGCTGGTTGGATTTTTTTCCTGAAAAATTTTGATTCGGAAATGCCACGGCGGTGCCATTTGGGAGCTGTAATTAAGGTGTGTCAGGCCCCCATTCTCCTCTAGGGGCAGGTTTCTTAGCTGGACTGTTTCACAT